GGGCACTGTTTTAGATATGATATCGAAGTGACAAAGAAAAAATAAATTGGACTACATCAAAATTTAAAACTGTGAAGCAAATGATACCATCAACAAAATGAATTATCCCAGTGTGGAGGCACACACCTGTAATCCCAGCACATAGGAGGCAGGAGATAAGTGCGTTCGGGACCATGGAATACATACATACCAAGATCCTGACTATGTAGCTGATAAAGAACCTGTACTAAAAATATATAAGGAATGCTTACCGATCAATAATAAAGACAACACAATCAGATACAAAGATGTCCAACGGTAAACCCCTCAATAGCATCAGTCACTAGGGAAATGCAAATCAAAACTACAATAAAGGGCAGGGGTGTGGCTCAGGGCAGAGTGCCTGCCTAGCATGTATTAAGGTCTTGGACTGGATCCCCAGCATGGCAAACAAAAACAAAATAAAAACAACCTACAATGTAATATCACTTCACACTCATTAGGAGCCCTGCAATCAAAAAAACAGGCAACAAGTGTGGGTAAGGATATGCAGACACTGGAACTTAACACATCACCGGTGACAATGTCAAACAGGGTGGCCACACTTGGAAGGTAGTTTGGCAGCTCCTCAAATTGCTCAGCACAGCTCCCATGCGTAATGGTTTAACTCTGAGGCACTCCTGACCCCAAGGCAGCCATGTTGAGAAGTGGGACCAGGTGGAGGAGGCAGGTGACTGGGCTCGGCCGCTGGAGGGGTCTCCTGGCCTCTGGGCCTGTCTTCTCTGGCTCCTTTCTTCTCTGCTTCTTGGCCGCCCTCACGTGAGCAGCTTCCCTCGATGCAATCTCTGTCTCTCCACAGGCCTGACAGCAATGGAGCCAGCTGACATGAACTGAAATCTCTGAAACCATGAGCCCAAATCAACCTTCCCTCCTTTAAGATGTAAACTGTTGGATATTTTGGTCCCATCAAGGAAAAGCTAACATACCCTATGACTCAGAAATTCCATTCCCACATATATACCCAAGAGGAAGAAAAATATGTCTACAATAACATTGCACATAAATGTTCATACCAGTATAACAACAAAAAAGTGCAAATAACTCAACTGTCCATCACTGTCCATCAGCAGATGAACAGCTAAACAAAATGTGGTGCAGCTATGTAAAAGGAATGCTATTCAGCTTTAAAAAGGAATGAATGACCAGCAGAGAGTGCAGCTGTGGTAGTGCGAATACTCAGCATGCACAGAGCCTAGGTTCAATCCTAGCACTAAGGGAGGGAGAAAAACACAGAAGTGAATGTTGATACATGCGTAGATGAAACTCTAAAACACTATGCACGTGAAAAGATGGCAGACACACACATACTGTGTAGTTCCATTTATATGAACTGTCCAAAACAAGCAGAGTTATAGAGTGACAGGAAGTAGATCAGTGGTCACCCAGAGCTTTCCAGTGGGGAATGGAGACTGACTGCAAATGCAGTTTCTTTCTTTTTTTGGTACCGGGAATCAAACTCTGGTTCTTGAGCTTGCGAGACAGGCGGTGGAACCACTGAGTTAAATCCCCGGCCCGGCAGTTTCTTTCTGGAGTGATGTTACCTTGTTCAGTAATGATTCTGCAATTACAAAATGGCAGCTAAGGAAACAGAACTCACCAAGAACAGAACACAGTGCTAAGTTCAATGCATGGCACTTACCCAAACCCATCTTCATGCCAAGCGGGTGGGATATCCTGCTAAGGCCGTTGTGACTGCCACAGATCAGGAAGAGACCCTGTGCGCCAGGCTAACACCACTGCCAAGGCCCTCCCATCACAGTCATCTGCCCCATGGCAAGTTACGGCGACAGAGAACGTTGGGATTATCTTAGTCACAGATCCATCCCCACTAAGTGTAAAGTTAAAAATCACCAAGAAACAGAGATGGCCCTTATTAATTTCATTCCCACGGCTAACATTACTGTTTACAGGCTGCCTTGTACAGAAGTGATTCCAGGCAACCGTCACTGGGACACTGTAGCCTCCAGGGGCTTTGGGACAGACCTGACTGAAGTGCACACCTCAAGCCCAGGGAACCAGGGAGGAGGGCCAGACTGTCAAAGGGCATTGCTTTTGGTTTTTTATTTTACCCAACACACATGATACCTGCTTGATACCACAGTACGGTCACCGGTAAATGCTCTGTAGTCAATAAATGTGTAGTGCTTTATGTATAATCATGAGCTAGAAAGGCCACATAAAAAGAAGAGCACAATAAGGGATCCTTTACTCTGGGGAGTGCTCCAGCTTGGAGTCTGAACCCCCGCCCCTCAAGCCCAGCCCCCAAGTGGCCCTCCTGGGAGGTGACAGACCTGTGGGGAGTCTGCCCCAAGAGTTACTGTGGGACCCCAGCCCCTCCCCTCCCTTCACCGCTCCCTGGCTCATGCTACGACCAGCTTCACTCAGCCCTGTGCCCTGTCACGTGTGCTGCCTCGCCATAGGCACAAACCAGCAGGGCCGCTCACTCACTGGGGTCTCAATGACCTGAGCGGTCACCTGATGGCTCTTTAAGAATGAGTCACCACGAGAGTATTGTAACCTGGAGGGAGCTCTAGGAACTCAGGCCATTCCTGTAACTGTCCTGGAGACAGAGAGCTAGAAGCTACCCCTGGGTACCGAGCCCTGTCACCTGGCAAGAAACATTACTGTTTAGAGACCAGGCACATTTTAGGGATTCTAACTGGAGCTCTGCTCTGCTGTCACATTTCGCCTCACACAGGCCCAGAAACCAAGGAGCCAGCATTTGAAAACTAGAGTCAAAATAACCCTTTCCTCCTGTAACTCGTGGATCACAGGGATCTGCTGCAGAGAAGGAAAGCTAACACACTGTATTCTCCCCTCTTGCATTTCCTATTTTCCACTGTTCTCCTCTACTTTCCCCCATGTCCTCTAATCCTCTGAGATCCTTTCCTAGGTAACTGGCAATTATAAAAGAAGAGCATATTAGGATGTTTCTTTGATCAGCTCTGGGACAAACGCAGCACTTTTACATCTGTCTCTTATTTTCTCTTTTTGTCCTCAAATTCCAGTTTTCTGACCTCATTCCCTCTATTTCTACTTTCACTCTTTTTCCTGATTATACCCCAGAGGTCACCTGGAATATACAGAATAATAAAGACGGAACACCAATACTGGTTCTTACAAAACTGTTCTACACAAGCAGGTGAAAGCTGTAAACACCGTTCCAGGTCTGCTGTATAAATGCAAGTATGACCAGCAGTCTCTCTACAGCAAACACAAAGGGACAGGAGCGTCTGCCTATCTTTGTGACTCACCACACTCAAAACTGGGCCTTGGTTCTCAGCGCTCCTTTGGTTCCACACTCCTAAGGGATGTCATTCCCATCTGTAGCAGCACTGTGACGGCTGATTTTCTATGCCAACTCAGTGCCAGGATATTTGGCCAAATACCACTCTGGGTGCTTCTGATGAGGTGTTTGCTGGCTGAGACTAACTTCAAACCAGCAGACTCTGAATAAAGCAGGTCACTCTCTAGGACAGGGTGGCTTTATCTGGCCCATGGAGGGGCTCAGCAAAGACTGACCTCTTCCACCTGAGACAGATTTCTGCCTGCAGAGCACCTGTGGACACGCACTTCTCTTTCTCTAAACAAAGAGCAGAGAAGAGAGGCAAGGAGTGACAGACGATTCTGAAAAAGCCTGATGCGGAACTTGTGGGTAACCTACTCACAAGTCACTCACTAACCTTCCTCTTCCACGGAGGCTGGATTCTAAACTGAGTTTTCTAGCAGCTCTTGAAATTCCAGGGTAGCCAGGAGACAGTTCTAGCCAAAACTCTCCAGCAGGGCATCCTTCTCCAATAAAAGCGCAGGTCTCTGGGATAAAGCATTGTGCCCTAACCCTTTCCTCCTGCCCAGGCCACAGCAGATGAGATGGAAACAGCACGTGGAGAAGCCAATCTGCAGCTTGGCCAGCGGCCTCCCTCCTTCCGTGTCCTCCACACGCCCTTCCACACAGGGCACAGGATAATCTGCCTCTTTAGCCCAGCTGTATTCTGGACCAAAGAAGCAGCTGAGAAACTTCCTTAGGCAACAATGTACAGGGAACTTTCAAAAACATAGCTGTACTCAGTCTCCACCAAGGATACGTAAGATCGGACCTTGCAATGAGAGGGAGATGAACTGAAAAAACATCCTGAAAGTAATGATTAAGGTATCTGCAACTACAACCATGAATGATGAAGGCAGGGTACAAAGGAAGGGTATCTTTTTAGAAGATGCTTTGAAAATGTGACATGAATCATTTTGTTTTATTTTTTGGTTTTCTGAGAAAGGGTCTCACCACATAGTGCAGGCTGACTGAACTCACTATATAGCCCAGGCTGGCCTCCAACTCATGCATCCTCCTGCCTCAGCCTCCAGAGTACTAGGATTACAGGCGTGTGCCACCATGGCTGGTGACATAAATTATTTTATGGCATTCCACTTAAAAGAAAGGAGTCAGAACTGAGCATGGCTTTGGCATCATTTGTCCTCTGTAATACACTAGTGGACTTAAAAACTTACTGCAGCACTTTTTCAACAGAGAACTACAGGGTATTACACAAAATCATTGAGTAATAAAACTATATTAATGAGGGTGGGGGATTTAGCTCAGTGGTTCCGCCGCCTGCCTCGAAAGCACAAGGTCCTGAGTTCGATCCCCAGTACCAAAACAAACAAACAAACAAAAAAAACTATATTAATGAATCATTAAGAGAAAACTATTGGGGCTGGAGATTTAGCTCAGTGCCATCGTGCCTGCCTTGAAAACGCAAGGTCCTGAGTTCAATCACTGGTACAAAAAAAAAAAGAAAAAAGAAAAAACTGTTGGCCAAACTGAGAAAAATGGAAGTAAAGTGTCCAGGCCATCTAACACATGTCTAAGTAAAGAGTGCTGTCTCTCCAAAGGCTGCCATGATGCGCCTCTCCACACAGGATTCTCTCCCGCTGCCACCCCCCTGATCCCAAAGTCCCGGGCTCACCTTTCTTCTCCCCGGTGTAGGGCACGTAGTCCTCCCTGTCCTTCTGCTCCAGCGCTTCCTTCTCCAGGTACGAGAGGAGGTGGTCTCTGTCAAATGGCCCCGTGGCAGCCTTGGACGTCTGGTTCTTCTGCCGGAAGCCTGCAGGCAGAAGGGCGTTCTGCCAGAGAGTGAATCAGCCATTACGACCAAGGAGGCCGGCGACGCTTTGCGCTTCCAGAGTGCCCCTGCAGAAGATTCTAGACTACAGTGGGCGGGCATTAGACAGCGCCATGAGGGATCTTATAGCAGTGATGGAAAAGGGCTCTAAACACAGTCCTTTTTAAAAATTGCGGTAGAATTCATTTACATTATTATTGAAATGGGCACCTATATATTTTCTTTTTTTTTCTTTTTTTTGGTACTGGGGATTGAACTTGGGTCCTTGTGCTTGGGCAGTAGTTGACGAAACCACTGAGCTAAATCCCCAGTCCAAAATGTTCATTGTTTAAGTGGAAATAACAGCACTTCAAATTTGGCCATTTGTGAATATCCATAATAATTCTCATTAAGTTTGCCTCTGTGTCCTCTTGAATGTAATGGCACTCATTACACAGCAAGCTGACCTTTAGGGGTGGACCACCCAGGAGGTCTGTCCCTCCCTGCACCAAGTGTGTCTCCTAATCCAAACTCAGCCGTCTCTGGGACCATACAAGACACACAAGACGTCTGCCCCCAGACTGTGAAGTCACTGAAGAGCCGCATCCATTCCACTCAGCCTAAAGGTCCTCTCCACTCTGACTTCCTGCGGAACCTGGGCACTGCTTTGCCATCTCCAAACCTGTTACTTCCGTCCACCCTCTGATCCAAGCTTCCCCAGCATCCCCTCGGGTTCCCAGATCAGCTCTGACCTCCACAGCCCTTGCTCCCTCTCCTCAGTCTCAGCCTCCCCTGGCCCTGCCTCTGTGCTCCACACCCTAGACTCCCTCCCTCAGATTGGGACTTGCCCAGCAGTCAGTGCCCTGCACCACAGCTTCACAAATGCAGCCCCACCCCTTGCAGGCTCCGCCCACCCTCTTCTGCTCCTTAAAGACAGCAGCTCCACCCACTCCCCCAGAGAAGCTTTTCCTGAACTCTCATCCCCCCACCCCCACCCTTACTCACTGTCTTTTACATCTGGTGTGAATGTTTGATCAAAGTCAATTTGCCTGCATCAGGAGGGAAGGGTTATATCTAACCTGCTCACTCTTACCCTAGGCCTAGCACAGTACCTGGGATCTACAGGTGGCCCCTGAACACTCATTCAATAAAGATCCAGGACATTATTGAATAAAAATGCTTGCCAAGACAAACTAATAAACAGTCATTTTCCTTCTCCATCCATAAAGCATGCACATATGTATTGCTACTTCATGGTGGTGAGGATGGAGCTGCACTATTCCACTTGCCTGCTCAAGCCCATATGAAATAATACAGCTTTAAAATATGTTACACGGGCAGGGCGTGGGGGCACTCGCTCGTAATCCCAGCACTCTGGGACGCTAAAGCAGGAGGATCCCAAGTTCCAGCCCAGCCTGGGCAACTCAGCAAGACCTGGTCTCAAAATAAAAAGAAAACTACCAACGAAAAGCCCTGGCCCTGACAGATTCACTGCTGAATTCTACAAGAAATTTAGAGAAGACCTAATGCCGCTATTCCTCAAACTCTTTAATGAAACTGAAAGGAAAGCAATACTACCAAATTCATTCCTGGAAGCAAGCATTACCCTGATACCAAAACCAAAGAAGGGCCCAACCAAAAGGAAAATTACAGGCCAATTTCCCTAATGAACACAGATGCAAAAATCCTCAATAAGATACTGGCAAATAGAATGCAGCAAATCATCAAGAAGGTTTTGCACCATGACCAAGTAGGGTTTATTCCAGAGGTGCAGGGATGGCTCAACATATGCAAATCAATACATGCAATACACTATATTAACAGAGTCAAGGACAAAAACTATATGATCCTCTCAATAGATGCAGAAAAAGCATTTGACAAGGTCCAACACTCATTCGTGTTAAAAAAAAAAACAACCCTACAGAAGATTGGTATAGCTGGTCTGTATCTCAATCTGATAAAAGCCATCTATGACAAACCAACAGCCAATATCATACTAAATGGACACAAAAGCTTTCAATCTAAAATCAGGAGCAAAACAAGGATGTTCACTGTCACCACTTTTGTTCAATATAGTTCTGGAAACATTAGCCAGGGCAATTAGACAAGAGAAAGAAATAAAAGGGATAAGGGCAGGAAAGGAAGAAGTTAAATTATCATTCTTTGTGGATGACATGATACTCTACATAGAAGATCCAAAACCTCTACCAACAGAGTTTTAGATTGGATAACCAAATTCAGTGGCGTAGCTGGATACAAAGTCAACACTCAAAAGTCAATATGGGCTGGGGATTTAGTTCAGTGGTTTCGCCACCTGCCTTGCAAGCGCAAGGACCAGAGTTCGATTCCTGGTATCAAAAAAAAAAAAGTCAATAGCCTTCCTGTACACAAATAACAGACTCACTGAGAGAAATTAGAGAAACAATCCCTTTCACAATAGCATCCCCCAAAAATGAAATACCTAGGAATCAATCAAACGAAGGAAGTAAAAAGACCTCTACACTGAAAACTACAGTACTCTGAAAAAAGAGATTGAAGAGGATATCAGAAAATGGAAAGACATCCTTTGTTCTTGGCTAAGAAAAACCAATATGGCTAAAATGGTCACACTTCCAAAACTGTTACACAGATTCAATTCAATCCCAATCAAAATCCCAAAAGCGTATCTCACAGAATTAGAAAAAAACAATACTAAAATTCATTTGGAACTAGAAGAGACCTAGAATAGCAAAGGCAATTCCGGGCAACAAAGGGAAAGCAGGGGGGTATCACAATCTCTGACTTTAAATTATACTATAAAGCTATGGTGATAAAAACATTATGGTACTGGCAAAAGAATAGAGGATGCAGAAACAACTCCAGACATACTCATCCACCTAATCTTTGACAAAGGAGCCAAACACCTTCACTGGAAGAAAGATAGCCTCTTTAATAAATGGTGCTGGAAGGGAAACCACCAACAGAGCTAAGAGACAACCTACAATGTGGGAAAAAATTTTAGCAGCTGTTCCACAGACAAAGGTCTACTATCTAAAATATATAAAGAATTGAAAAAAATCAGACCCCCTGAAATTCAAAGACCCAATTCAAAAATGGGCATCTGAAATGAACAGATATTTCTCAGACAAAGAAGCAAAAGCAGCAAATAAATATATGAAAAATGTTCAACATCACTGGTCATTCGAGAGATGCAGATGAAAACAACACTGAGATTCCACCTCAC